TCTGTGTTTTGATATATGTCTACATGCTGATCACAGAGTGAGCAGAGTCGACTGATTTCTAAAAGTTTTGCCAACACCGAACTACTGTGGTCCATATATAATTATATATAGATAAACACCAATATATTTTGCATCTGTTGTTAACAATAAATTAACGACGGAGTAACATAGATTGAGCAGGCAAAGGCGCAGCACCTTTTGTTCGCGCTTGGCTTCTAGTTTGCCGCTGCAGGGTTCCGGATGGTCGGCGATGAAACGGAGGAGGTCGCGCGTGTGTCGCACCAGCTCCGCCGGGCTCCTGGCCTTGGGCCCGAACAACCCCCCGCCCATCCCCCCCGTCATGGCATTGGCGCTGGACACGCACGGCCACAGGCACCCCGACATGGATCGATCTTGACCTGGACGACCGATGGACGTAGCCACCACGGCTGCACGCCGGCCGGCTGGCCGCCCACCGTCGCACAGATCGATCGCTTTCCACGATAGCTCTGCGGTGTCCACCCAGTGATTTTCTTGGCGCTGCCGCTGGTTCCCTGCCGGTGAGTGCGTGGGGATCGGATTGAGAATTAGGGCTCGGGCGGGACACTCCTCTACAGTGTGACTGCGCCGCAGGTAATTCGTCGCCTCCCGGGGGGTGGGCGTAGCGACCGGTAAGTGGCCGGCCTGCGGCGGCGCGGGGAGGAGGAGGGCGAAGGGACTGGATGGGATGGGTAGTGAATCAAGACGAATGGGATGGGATGGAATCGGATCGGATCGTGTTCATTCCATTTTGTGGGAAGATTACAACTGATCGCGTGAAATCTGGATGTTTATCGCGCGGCTGCCTGCGGGTTTGTCTGCATGCACATGCGCTGTCGCTCTGATTTTTATTTTCGTAGTATGGCTATGGGCCCAGGAAGATGACGGGCCTTCGGCCGTAGTTTGACCTCACGGAGTGGTATGGGCCCTGAATTCTAGTCCGGCGGGATCTCCTCATAAATAAAAACTGTCACAAAAAAAAAAACTGACCCGCCCGTGAACAAAATACTAATTTTATACACCAGGAGAAGAGAGGGGAAGCGGAAAAAAAAGTCGAAGCAAAAAAGGACATACCCAGGTAGAAAAACCCTCAAATCCAGCAATATAAACACCCCACAAAAATTTAAAAGGTTACATCAAAGTCCATGGGATTTGTCTTCATCCTCCTGAATGGTCATTATGCCGCCACATGCCGTTTCATCACTCGAGCCTACCTGTTGACGGTCCTACCTGACCAGCGTCCCACAGACAGACCTTCGGCGCTGGAAAAGTTGTACTCCCTCCATTTCAAATTACTCGTCACAAAAATGAATGTATTTACAACTAAAATACATCTAGATACATCCATATATATGATAAATAATTCAGAACAGATGGAGTAGATTCAAGAACCAAACGTCCATTATTTTTCACATGTCTCATGACAATACTAAAGGCTACACCGATATGACGGAAACATGGGGAAGGGCCAAACTATAGAAAGACCTAGATGTTGGCAAGCATTCTTGTCAACCCATCTAGTCTTTGAGACCTACTATGCGCCAACGGGTGGGAATAACCACAAATGAAATGATGACACTTTGGCAACGAAGTATCAGCGGTGGCACGCAACACAAGAAACATTTTTAGATACATTAAAACTGAGCACCCTCCTAGCCCTCTCAGGTCATCAACATTTCTAATCGTTGGATCGCCACTTTTAATCATTTCGCCTGTCAGATTTGTTGTTAGTCTCACCTAAATCTCGTGTGCAGACTAACTCGCGCGTTAGGTTGCGTTGAACTTTTCGGGCTGCTGCTCCGGTGGCTTTTTTGGGCGTCTTACGTTTAATTGGGTCTACTGGCCTACTGTGCTTGTACTACCATCATAAAACAAAATGTAAAAATTGCTCGGTTGCTACGTCTGTGAGAGAAAGGAGAAGAGGATCTGGCTGCTGTGAATCCGGAGTGTTGTTGTGACCAAGTGCAGCCACACACCTCACAAATACTTCCTCCATTCACAAATACAAGATGTTCTAACTTTTTTTGTTGAGTCGGATGTATATAAACATGTTTAGAGTGTTTGTTCACTCATTTAAGTCCATATTAGTCCATATTGAAATATCTAAAACATCTTATATTTGTGAACGGAGGAAGTAGTATTTTTGCAGTGTTTTTGACTATTGTTATTTATACTAAATTTTCATTTTTTGTATTGATCAGAACAGAAAGGTTATTGTTGTGTTTTGGTTCAATATATGTATTATTTTTATTTTCATTTTCTATACAAATATACATGATTCAAGCATTGAGAGTATCAAGCGCACCAATGGTTGGAAGAGCTAATCCATCCACTGAGAGCACTGGGAAGCTTTCCACAGGCCCATTGACTAATGCATCTGCTACTTAGTAGTATCAGATATTCCATTCTCTAATGGTATTGCTTATCTCCTTTACATATATATAACTAAGGGAAAATATGACTTTATAAGGATATCATGTTACTGTATCTTGCTTAGAAGTTTTGTCAAGAGTAGTACAATAGCAGTGTCATGGAATGCCATTGGGCTCCATTTTCCTTCCATGGCCACCTTTTGGCACATTGGTTGTCATAAATGTTGGGTTGTAGATTTATGATCCAATTTATGAGATGCTAACAAAATCTTGGTAGACATGAAACCAAGAAAATGGCCAATATCATCTAAAAAAAAGAGAGTGGCCAACATGACATGGAAATTATAGAAGATGACACTTGCCAAAAATGATAAATATTTGGTTCGCCTACATGATGGTTCAGAAGTTCTTTCACTGAAAATAAGAATTTTTTCTTCCAGATCTATATATTTGTAAAGGTTACTATCAATATATTGGAAAAATAGATAGGCGCAGCAACATGTGCCAATTATGATCTAGTTAGTCTCACAACTATGCGTCCGTCCTGGTTCGACCATTATGGCCTACTCCATGCATCACCAAGAGATTATGTGGTCTTTTGTTGATCTCACAAATCTAGCGGATTCGCGTCTGACGCTTCAGCCTGACTTGGTGATTGGTGGTACCGACTTTGATGCCATGATTGCTTTGGTTTGTGGTTCCCACACTCCATTATTTTGTGCTTCTGATGGTGAGGCGACGAAGTAGTAATTCAACAAGCTTGCATTGCAAAAGGTGTGTCAGAGCAACTTTAATGGAGCGACTCATTTCGTCCGCCCGCGTACGTTTGGGTCGGCGCGGACAAAAGTGGCGGCCCAACACGCCGACTCAAACGGACACGCGTCCGTTTTTCGTCCGCGGGCGACCCATTTCAGGCTCTTTTTTAGCCGGATTTGCGTCGGCGCGGACACGAGACGGACGCGCACGCGCTCGCCCTCTTTCCTCATCGGACCCGCTGGTCGGTGGCACATTGGATTCACGCCCTCGCCCGCCTGCTACGTCGCCGACGCCACCGGCCATTTTTTCAGATAAAAATGGATACATAGATAATTCTAGCGTACACAGATAAAAAGAAAAGACCACTACTCGTCGATTTCTGACTCCGACTCGGTAATGTCCTCCTCCGATGTCTGAATGTAGGCGTCAGCATACGCCTTGTCTTCAAAGTCCCAACCCGCTGTTTCTCGTAGCTTCAATTTCAATTGAGTTGTCTGCTTCCGCGAACGCTTGTCCTCCCGATAGGCGGCTCGCTCCCTCCTCCTCGCGTCCCTCTCCGATCTCAATTGCTTGTAGAATTGGCGCTCGTCGACGATGTCCTGCGGGTAGCCTCCACGCCACAACACCAAGGCTTCCACGTCCTTCTCTGCGATGGCGAGGCGATGCTGCCGACTCCGGTGGACACGACGATCCTCGTCGGTGAAAAGCCGCGGGAGAGGCGCCAGATCATGCGCCCGCTGACTCGACACGTTGGGAAAATTCATATCCCGACGAGGCCTCAGGAGGCGCCATGCCGCCGCATCATGCGCGCGGGCCGCCTCCTCTGCGGTGTCGAAGGTGCCGAGGGCGAGACGTTTCTCGCGAAATCAGATCTCGGCGGAGAAGACGCCGGAGCGGCGCTCGCGGACTCCACGAAAATCCGGAGCGCGTAGGCAGCGGATCGACATGGTGGCGCAGAGGCGGCGAGAGTGGGCGGCCGACAGAGTGTGGAGAGAGCGTCGGCCGCGGCGCGCGCGAACCTTTCCTGCGCGCTGGAGCGCCAAAACCAGCGCGCGCGAACCTTTCCCGCGTGCTGGAGCGTTAAAATTAGGGCGACGACACGATGTTAAACGCGCGCGGTCATGAAAATGGGTTGGCCCGTTGGGCGCACTGCCGACTCAAAACTAAAAGAGGGCGGACGGCGGGTGGACGGCCGATCCAAACGGATAAAAAGCAGACAAAAATGCCGTATGGCTGGATCGGTCCGTTGGAGTTGCTCTCATTGGTCAGGCTGCATCCAGTGATGTTAAATTCTCGTATGTTGAGGTTGGCGTCTATCACTTGTTGAGGCGGGCAACTCATGTGTCTATTCAAGGCATTTGATGTTAGTCAATCTAGTTCAACTCTAGTCTTCTTCTCCCAAAGCATGGAGGAAAAGTTCAATATGTTGTGAAACTTAAATTTTTATCAGGCTTTTTGTTGTTTGTGTTTTTTTCACCTTTTATTTGACCCAACAGAAAATTTTAGTTAATCAATAAAATCAGATTATTTACTATTTCTTCCCACTATTTCCTTGGACAACAATTTTGAATTCAACATATGCACCACTTATATATGCACCCACGTGAGTGCGCCTCAACCTCATGCTAAAATATACAAATCATATATACGTAAATAGCCGATCTTCGATATATCTATTTCTCTTAACACACATGCTAACTCACTAATATGTCTCAAATGTATCTATAAATTTTGATTGTTTCACGTTATTATGTTATCACTTTTATGTTTTTATATCATTTTATATTATTTTTCTGGACTAACCTATTAACTTAGTGCCCAGTGCTAGTTTCTGTCTTTTTGCTTATTTTTGGTTTCGCAAAAAATCATTATCTAGGAAGGTCCAAATATGATGCCAATTTTTGACCATTTTTTCTGGACTAGAGGGAACATTAGAAGCTTCGAAAGACATCAATGGGACCCACGAGGTTCCGACATGGCCACATGGCGCAGACAGGTGGTTGCTGCGCCACCTATCCATGTGGGCCCCCTAAGCCTCTGCTTGACCTAATTCTTCCACTTATAAATCCCATAAATCTTGAAACCACTCGTGAGCCATCCAGAAAAGAGAAAATAGTGCCACCGTAAGCCTCTGCTCTGAAGCGATCCCATTTGGAGCCCTGTTTCGGAGCTCTGTCGAAGGGGGGGGCATTGCCGGAGGCTTCTTCATCAACCTTGCTACCTCATGATGACACATAT